CTAAGTCAGGGCATGGCTTACTCACGGATTGAACCATGAAATGACATCTGGGCTTAAGCAGGCATGGCTAACTCATACATCCAATCCTAAAACAACCTCTGGACTGAACAAAGACAGGCCACAGCTAACTCATAAATAGAATGGAATAGTGCCTTTGGTATCGTGGAGGGAGGACAACCAGAGAACCTGGAGAAAAACCCTCAAATCAAGGGACTAACCCAGCAAACTCTGTTCACATCAGATTGCAAATTCCAGCAATGGCGCTAGAGAGCCCAATTTCCAGGATTAAAGGAAAATTTTACTTCTTTTAGGGGTATAGTGGGGCACCTTTGTCCACCTGTTGTTAGTTTTCCTTTTCCTAAGTTATGAAAATTTTGCATTTTGATAGGAAACTATATTAGATTTTAAAATAACTTATCATCCTTTAGTAGCTTAGGTTATATTTCATTCAACTTTTTAAAATTCCAACGCACATAAAAGTTATTAAATGTCAAATGAATGACTTTCGACTTTGCCCAAAATATTTCCCTTTTAGCGTGTTTTGCGGAATAAAAACTTAGTCTTTTACCTTACTATGACTCTTATACGTGTTTTTCCTTCTTCCAAACAAATAAACTTGACGAATAAAAGCGAAAACTGGATTTTTTTGACGCTTGGCAAAATGTTGTATTATGTTGGCCGCCATCTTGAGTAAGCGACAGAATTGGATATTAGGGGGAGGGGTAAGTTATGGAATAAGTACTTTGGGGGATATAGATGGGGGRATGTACAAATTCAAGTTAACATATTACTATGAAAATGATGGAATAAAGATGAAAACGCAAATGGGATAAACAAAATCACGCCAAGCACGTGCAGTGGAGGGACTGAATAGCGATCATTGCTGCAAAATTACAAAATAGACCGTTTTCTCAAGGTTTCGCGCTCAACCAAATTTAAAGAACTTGACGGGCCACGATACCAGAACAAGAGCTTTATAAGTATATGTAATAGGACTCCATGCTGTCCAATTAAGAAAAAATTGGATGAGGAAAATTCCGAGGACTGACAAAATTGAGTCCAATTTGGCAGTCAGAGGAATTTTTTGAGTCTAATTATTTCTTGATTGGGGAGCATGAAATCCCATTACCTGTTAATTATATAGCTGCCTAATTAATCCCATATCAACAAGACCTGTCCAATTAAGAAAATAATTGAACAGTTACCTATATGGGATTAATGAGAAGCTGTATAATCATGAGAATTATCATACATTTCTACGTGACTTTTCGATAAGAATTCATAAAATCGATTATTCTCCTCTTTAAATTTAAAACTGTCTTCTCAATTTTACTGAATTTGCGTTTTTCAGTTTTGGCAGTTTTTGGCCGGCGAGTTGGATGCGCACGCAACCTTGAGAAAACGGTCCGTATAGCCGATAAGATTTCCCATGTTCCTTTGGGCCCCGTTAACACTTCTAGATAGGAGGCTTGCTTTCATCACATTATTTCGATGGGACTTTATATTTGCAGTGACCTCATTTTGCGCATGCACATAAGGCTTTTTTTCATTCCACTAGATGCAAACAAAGGCTTGTAATTCTTACTACGCATGCTCGACGAAATGACATCTTGAAACTTCATCGAGCAAGCGCAACGAGAATTACAAAAAACTCATCTTTTTTTTCCCGAGCGTGCGTAGTAAGGAATAACGGCTCTAGAAAATAGATTGGGATTTCCTGTGGACGTCCCAGAAGGATTTAAAAAAGGATTTATTATGAAACAGGAAGCCTAACTAAGGAACGTGAGTGGAATACATCATTCAATCAACGCGCGTCAAGAGAGTAAAAAAGTCATGAGTTAAAACCTCGAGATACAATCGCTTTCCTGACATACGATTTAACCTAACGCATACAGCATTTCTTTCTTCTCTCTTTCGTGCAAATTAGCACGTACAGAAGGTTGAATTCTGAGTATACAGTTATTTTAATATGGTAGGTTTTTCCTCCGAGGTCATTATGATAAGTGCCTTCGAGCGGTATCTTGCGAAATTTCAATGACGAACAAGAAGCTGCTATCATTAGACGAGTTAATTACCAGATACAAGCTTGTTAAGTGCATGGAATAACCGCGTTAAAAAAAACTAACGCAGACGCGTGCTAACAAAACATCAACTACCTACACTTATACAACACGAAAAAAAGTTGTCTGCATTTGACATATTTTTATGATTTAGTTTTCATGACAAAACTGGGAAAAAATGGAATAAATTTTATGATTCAACGAGTTCAATATGAAGTGTGATTTCCGGGCTTTTAGTTTAATTCATGTGCATAAAACAAGTAGAGAATACGATGAATTGTTCAAAAGAGCCATAGTTAATCGCCTACGTATGACATATATCATTCATATTTGAACGTTGTTTTGGCTTTTTGATTGTTATATTGCTGCGTCATGCTCTCGAACTTAACGTCTTTGTCAAACTGAGAAAAAAGACTAATTTGGCAGACGTCGGGTAATGAGGCTGTCCAGTTCTAGTACAAAAAAACACGCAGAAATTATAATTACAGAAAAGGGTAGAGTAACAAATATAATGATTATCTAGCTTTCAGAACAAAACATATTTTCCCTATTCACTCGAATCTATTATCTTCTGTTTGAGGTCTGTATAGCCAGAGGGCATAAATTGTTTTGTCAAGAACGGTAAAATTTGTCATGTACCGTAGTTTATAACAAGGAATATATTTCGTACACTATCAACTCTATTATCTACAAAACGGGGGAAAATAAAACTAGAGGCAATTAAAAGAATTACAACGAATTAGATTTTTTTTCCAAAACATTCTTTGATCTTTACGTACTGATTCCCCTATTTTTTTATCCTCGGAAACGCAGCAAGAATCGAGCGAAATAATTTTACCCCTGGGTTCCTCGAGGATGCAATTTCCTAGATAGAATAACCTCCCTCTATCTGTCCTCTTAATTATTGTAAGCCGATGCAATCTAAAAATTTCGAACAAGGAATTTTTACTTTTTGTGACCGGAAGTAAAATTGGCGGTTGCCATGCGGTTGTTGATAAATACGTCGTTACCATTTCCGGTATTATTCTAATTTACATATAACTGTTCTTGATCCACGCGCTAAGCGACATCAACAATCTGATATCATAGCAACTGTGAGCCAATCAGATTGGTTTATTCAGCGTCACGGCTTAATCATATTTCAATGGTAGCAACAGATTAGCCAATCAGGGATGAGTGCAGTTGTTTATTTGCATCCAAGTCTGCATTAAATGTTCTTGTTCTAAAAGCTAGCGTTATGCATCGTGATGCCATTCATCTCATGGAACATCTGTGGACTAGATCTGTAAATCATCCATAACACAAAATCAGCCATTTCCTTCTAATTTGCACCGCAATCAAGCGCTGAATTACAGCTAAGAAGACCGGCGCAGCTAAGATCTCTAGGCAATCGAATAATCATCAAACGATCTTACAATCATCTTCTCGCGTAATAGCAAAAGAACTTTGGACAAGGAAGCTGCTTGAAGTAAATCACCTGGCCTTTTAACATTTAAGCGAAAAATGCTGCTGTGAGTAAAATATTTGAAATTTCCTCGAGAAGCCATTTCAGTGCTGTTATACTAATTTACATCTAAAAGGTTTTTTTGATATTGCACGAAAAACTTTGAAAAGTACGTGGCGAGACACGAGAGTTTTGAAGAGGTGTACTCGTGCTGAATCCATTTGAGAAGGGTCGTGTTTCTTCCTAATTTGACAACAGAAGTAATAAAGAAGAGAAAAGACACCTTATTATTTCGGGAACCAGGCGAAAGTCTTGTTGTGTAGGCGTCGAAGTTTGTTCTGTTCCACGGAGTATGACGACGATTGAATCCATGCCTTCGTTAACTCAATCGTACGCGGATAAATTCGCTGCTAACTGGAAAGCTCAGAATCCTGAAGAAGACGAAGAAAGTAATGAGACAGCACTAGATGATAGCTTAACTAATCTACAATGGCTTCATTCTATAAATATACAAGATATAACTGCAAGTAATTCATCGACGCTCTCTGACGCGTCAGGCTCTGCCGAAGGGTCGAATTTTTCGGACAGCGAATGTCAAAGTGAAAGTGGAGAATCCAAAAACTCTGAGCAGATATTAAAAGAACCTCTAATTGATTATAAAAACGATCCACACCATAAACCGCCCTATTCCTACGCTACATTAATCTGTATGGCAATGAGAGAGACTAAAAGAGTCAAGATTACACTCAACTCAATTTACAAATGGATCAAGGAAAATTTCATGTACTACAGAATGGCAGATCCAACATGGCAGGTAAGCATTTTCTTCAATTTCTACGTGAAAATATAATTTCCCACTAAATGAAAATCTTAGAATAAGTTTTAGAGTCTTAAGTAATGACTTTTTTTTCTAGTTTTGTATTCTTTATAAAATTCTTATGCTTTGGGGTTTTTGTGAACAATAATTAATTCAATTTCGAGAATTCATGAAATTTATACAATTTTCGGCTTAAAAGAGCTTTACATTGTCTAATTAAAGCCCAAAATATTTATGATAATGGCATCTAAAACGCTTCTACATCTTTTTAACGTTTTACAGTGTTTCCTAGTCTTTTTGGAACTATATTTGGTTATTTTAATCGATTCTAAAAATAAATTAAATTCTGTCAAAGCTGAGACTGTTAAATTTTTAATTTTTCGTATTCCTAAATTTCAAACCAAGAATAAGCTCGATTTAAAAGTTTGAAGAATGCTATAATAGGATTTTAAATGATGCTTTTGAAGGAGAAATAGGTGTATTTTTACCATATGCAGAGGGACGATTTCATTTCTGAAAAACGAGATTCATTTGGGAACTTTGCATCTACTCCGAAAATTGTTTTATTTCTTTAATTTTAATTATTAATTCTTCAAGAAACAAAAAATACATGTAAAATATAAAAAAGTTCTTCAACTTCAAAATATCCTAATAATAGATATTTGAAAAAGTTTATGAAAACATGAATTATAATTATTATAAATTGTTAGATTTTTTGTTAAAAAAAAACAAAAGATAAGTTTTGATCTGTTAGTGTCGAGAGCCTATTTTTTTTTCAAAGCTTAAATCGCAAATGTCAAGTTGAATAGATAAGTTCTTTAACTTGGCCGCCATAGTTTCACCTGTTAAGTTAGCTTCGAGTTTCATGGGAGTCCTGTTGATTTGAAATCCCAAACATTATTGATATTTAAATTTTACCTCCCTCGATTATCAATGCCGTTAGCAGAAAAACTTTTTTATTTAAAACTCATGTTTGAAAATCTAGCTAAGTTCTTACTGAAGTCATTCTCACTCACAACGGGATGTTAAGCTAGATACGGAAACAAGTTTTTGTCTTTCATAGAAAATATAATGAATAACAAAAAGCTGTATTTCCTCTCATGAAAAAATTAAAATTTCTTCAAAAATTATAGCTATAAAACAATTTAAATCCGGCTTAAAATCCTATCCACATTTCTATGTCTCAGTATAACGGAAAATTAGAAAGGTGTTTCTTGACATTTTAAAATAATTACTTCGAGAATTCAATTCTTAAAATGCCGAAAAAATTTTCGAACATTAATCTGAAAATAGAAAAAAAGCAAATTGATTAGTGTACTGCATAAGTGCAATTCTTAAATTTTTAATCTCGGTTTCCAAGGAAGCAGTTGAGGTATCCGAATTTATTTGCCTAAATAAGAAAATGCCGTGAATTTTTCTCAAATTGAACACATTTGGTTAAAAAGTGTYGTCTCCATTATGGAAATTTCGCCATCTACACATTAAGTCTGCAAAACAAACTTCTCTAAGTGAATGCTAACATCGACAATTTATTTGTTTACTTTTTGAGATTTATATAGAACGGAAGAGAGCTGTTTTTGAATATTTTTAACGGAGTAAGAAGCCATATTCCAAAAAGTATTGACTCTAGTCGCTGGACTGATAGGTCTCTATTTTAAATCTGTCATTTTCACTAAGAGTAGCTTGCGTTGTTATCTGATATTCTCTTAGGATAAAATGTTATCTCTTCTTGTTTTGTCATATTTTAAAATGTCATAATTGGAAAACAAATTAATTGACAAGTGTACATTTTTAAACACGAATTTTTTTATTTAGATATTAAATTTTTACATAGTTTTAAATTTAATTCCAGAGTTTAGTGCTTAAGCCTTGCTTTACATAAATCATAAATTCTGTTTTGCACCAGGGTGAATGTACAGGTATAGAGGGAATTTAACGCATACTTCAACAGTTCAACAAGTTTAACTGTAAAAACTACAATAATTTGAACAGTTTATCTTTTCCCAGCGACCTTTAAATTCCCCGCCCTGTCTCGAGGGTTTCGTCCCAGATTTACATCTACAATCCTCGCCCTCCCCTCTCAGTTTACCCACAAAGTTTCAAATCAAATCAAAATAGTTTACCCCTTATACCATACCGTTTCATACTAAAAAAAGGTTTAAGTTTCAAAATACGAAATATGTTTTCCTTGACATTGGGGCTTTCTTGAAAAAAATGGTTTAAAATTTTGAATTAGTATTCTAGCATTGTTACTTCTGCCGAACTCGTGATTTAACTTGCAGTTTACTTTATCCAAGTTCTTATCGTTGTTAAGTATAAAGCTCTAAATACATGTGATAAAAACCAATAAACCGGTCAAAGGTTTGTTACCATAGCGACATGTTAAGTCTCGTGTAGCCATAGCAACAGGTATAGCACAAAATCCAGCAGAAAGAGCGAGTTGGAAAAGTTAAAATATAAAAATCGGTTTTTGGTCGGTAGTTTGTGAGTTAAAGATGTAATAACTTTATGAAGGATACAAGAAAAAAAGAAAAAGAAAACAAAGGATACAGATACAAAAGAAAAGTCGATGTTATACATTATTGATGGTTTTAGCACCCCACTGTTTTATTATTGTGCAGGAAAAAAAGATTGTATGAAAATAATTAAAAATAATTTTGGTGCTAAATGTGTAGAGATAGTACTAAGATAATTACACGAAATAGGTTAATAATTTTGGGCCGTATGTCTTTATGCCTGAGCTTGTCTTCTTCTTGTTCTTCTTCTTGTTCTTCTTCTTGTTCTTCTTCTTGTTCTT